TTCTTTTTTAATTAACATGGGAAATGTAAATACAGATTCGAAATCAATAGTGTTGGACATATTAAGAATAAGTCAAATGCCCTTCCTTGGCCAACTTATTCTTCTTCTTCTTCCTTTTTCTTTTTTAATTAACATGGGAAATGTAAATACGGATCCGAAATCAATAGTGTTGGACATGTTAAGAATAAGTCAAATGCCCTTCCTTGGCCAACTTCTTCTTCTTCTTTAATTAACATGGGAAATGTAAATACGGATCCGAAATCAATAGTGTTGGACATGTTAAGAATAAGTCAAATGCCCTTCCTTGACTTGACCATAATATGATCGTGTTCAAAATTACTCATCAACCAAAGTTGAGCAATTGAGGTCAAGTTTCTTTTGATTGCACGATAACTATAGTAAAATCGTACTTATCTAATCTTCATATTCGAAATGTTCCCTTTGATAATCACGTTATACCTTAATTATTTCATCAAGAAAAACATGTAGATATCTTTTTAAGACTTGTAAATATCATTGATAGTCACTTGTTACAAGTAGTTGAAATCAACCTAAAGCTTTCTTTTTACTCTTTTTAGAATAGAATAAAATATTATTGATTTAAGTATCTAAATAATTATCTTAAAATACAACCTTGCGACTTTGCAATTCAACCTACTTGGAAGATAAGATTCGAAGAAGACTAGAAAATTTTTCTGCAATTACAGGAAGCTACCTAATTATTTTCTTCATAACAATGTTTTATTATTTGAACAACAAGCATATTTGACTTTATGCATTTTGAGACTAATTTGCTCTCAAACTATGCCTACATTGGTGTGGTTTTTTCAAGAAAGTTAATCTATTGTCTTCTTGTTAGAACCACCTAGAAATCACCCTCTTTACGCGATCCATCTACACGAGCCCGTTTAGTCCTATGCTTGTAACCCAGCCCAGAATCAGTGACCCGGTTCTGCACCACATTTCTCAAAGCCCGCTTCAAGCTCAAGGCCCTCATCTCTTCCTCATCACCCTCGCCGCCTCTGGCCCATTCCATCAGTACTACGCTCTTAGACCGGCCACCAACCGTCATCATCTCGGCGCGCACTGCCTTTGCTTGAACCATCTCGATCGCCCTGGTCAAGTCCCGATTGAGGCCTGGCCTGTCCTCGCAGCACATCGTCGCTTTGACCAGCCTAGTTTCGTCATTGCAGAAACTCAGACTCACCTCGTCGCACTCTCCCGGAAACGGCCACGACACGGCGTTGCCGTTGCAGCAACCACCACCTTCCTTTTCCGCTATGGCAGCAACTTGTCTCCTCAGTTCCTTCACGTGACGGACCACCTCTGCTAGCAATGACGCCTTATCCGTCTGTCACCACCATCATATCACTTTTAACATTACCAAACTCCAAAAAAAAAAAAAAAAAACCCAAAAAATTCAATTTGGTAAAGTTGAACCTTGGTGGTGTTGGGGAGGAGAGAGCGGAGGGTGGCGAGGTGACCGTTGATACGCTGCCGGCGTCTCCTCTCTGCTTCCTTGTGACTCTTACACGCTTCCTTCGATTTCTTCTCCGATTTTGACTCCGAGCTCTTGATGGAATCATCGCCGGATTCCTGAATCAGTTCGTTCTGACTTTGATTTACCCAATAGCCTTGCAGAGGAAACATTTCCACTACACTCAAGCTAACTCAACAATTAAAGTTGTACCGATCAAAATCTTATTTATTTATTTATTTTTTTTTTTTGGAATCTGGGTAGGTGAGAAGTGAAGAATGTGCAAATGGGAATTAAAGGAGGGGAATGAAGCAAGAATTTAGCTAGCAGAAGTAAGAGTGAAAAGAAGGGAGACGAGACGACGACAAAGTCTACTCTGTTACTGCTGATTAGGACAAGTAATGGAAAGTGAATCGCGAGATCCGAGGAGGAAGACAAGTGGTCAAAACGAAAGGTATATTACAGAGATTGTGGAATCAAAGACTGGATGGTGGTGAAAAGTTCAAAACGTTGGTAAATCTAACAGAGATTAGAGGATAGGTGGCGCCATAGAAAAAACAAAGATTAGATGATGACTTAAAATGGCGTGAAAAGAACAGGGCTTTGGAGTGGGTTTGGTGTGGGCGGACGAGGAGGGAGAGCAAAGGCGGCAAAATGATTTCCAAAGCTGAGAGTATTTGCCTCTTCAGCCGCGGTACCGACAGGGTCTGTGGAAGAGCATAAAAGGATGCAATAGTGATGGAGGAGGACTTTATGATCGGTGGTTCACTGGTATAAATACTAGTACTAGTACTATATATTTATCTATAAATATTTGGAGCAGGAAGACTTTGTGATCGGTGGTTCACTACTATAAATATTGGTGCCAGCACCGTACGTATATGTATAAATATATTAATAAGAGGACTTGTTAATTACACTTAGGCTTTTAATCTAGTAGCGTTAGATCACATATAAGTGTATTTTTTATTTTTTCAAGATAATAGTTCAAATTCGATCCCTTGTGAATTTGTTAAAAAAAAAAAACTTGTTAATCTTAGTAAAAAATTTTAATATTTAATAAATAAAAAGATAGGTGGTGAAAGAAGTTTTTTTATATATTCAATGATCAGCTTAAAAAAAATTCTTAAGATATATAACATGAAACAAGATATTTTATTTTATAATTTAAACTAATTTAATTGTAAAATAGGAATCAGTCTAATAGTAGTGAGAGAGTTTTAATATCAAGAAATCTG